CTTCTTCCTGCCGAGTAGCTTGCTGCTCGAGAGCATTTTGTATCGAGAGAAGAATCCCAATAGGTGCCGTACCTCTGAAGTGGCGCACCTCATGGCCGAGGGTAGCTAGCTGCGAGAGGATTGCCATGGTCTCCAGGAAGTCATCGTCTGCTGGGACATTTCCCCACCAAGGCTTACAGTCCCCAAACTCGGGCCATGAGGATGCATCAAAGTAGGGATCATCCCCAATGAGCATAGCGTGAGTGAGATCCATCGTTGCGAAGATCGATAGCATCAGAATTGGAAGCTCGAATTTCGTCTGAAACACATCCCGCATGCCCTTCCATTGTTTGAGGATCGCCTTGCCTCCCATGATGTGGTGATGTGTGGCGGAACTTTCGGTGATAGGTTCGATGATTCCATCGAGGATGCAGAGGAGCACATTGGCGATGAAAAGAGAGTTGTTCGTCTCGTCGGTTTGTGTGCTCATCAATTGCTTTCTGAACATCCTTAGGGCGGTATTCCGGTCTTGGATTTTCGACAGGGAGAGCGCCTTCTCGTTCGCGCTTCGGTAGGTTGCGTGGGCATTGGCAACGGCAACGATGGATTGCAGGAGTATGGGGTCTGCTGAGAGCATCTTCAAATCAACCTGTGGGGCCGTGTTGGAGAGATTGAACCGAGGAAGCAATTCGTTCTCAAAGTAGAGGATATGGTGGTCGGTATTCTTCAGCAATACAGGCGCTTGATACAAGGGGATCTTCTTCCCCGCCAAGCGGCCCCTCGAGGCCACGCAGTCGGTCCATCGCAACCTCACTTTCCCATAATCGCAGCGTCTGCCGATCTTGGTACACTTCTCGCAGGCGGGGGAAGTCAGGTCGCAGATGACTCTGCGTTCCTTGCATCCCCAGCACGATCCCTCGACGGTACGGATCCGTGGCGGCATAGCTTTGCGGGAGACATGAGCTGTAGTCTGTCTATCTGTCGGTCGGAAAGTGAGGATATTTAGCAACCTTTGAGGAAGAGGGAGAACAGTGCAAAAAGCAACTTCTGGGGGAAGCTACACAACCCAGCAGCCAGCAGCAGGGGTGCGCAGCTTATCACGGACAAGGCCGACATCTGTGCAGGTGGACATCCCTGCCGTTCAAGTGGAAAAACCCCCACGTTTCAGTCCACGTGACCACGCTAGAAGCCATGCGCAGTGTGGGGGACGGCTTCCAACGTTGTTCCACCGATCTGATAGACGCAGCTGGTGCAGCACTTCCTCTCCATGGCCAACCACACTCAGATGCCCTCCTCCCAGAACGACGTCAGTGAAGGCGCACGCCCTGCTGCCCTGATCAGGAGCTGAAACATACTGGACGCCTCAAATCCTTTCTCGTATTAACAATATTATTTACATTTCAGCTCGGCGAGCTCGCTAAATAAAGCCCGGTGAAAAACTCGTCAAATCGTCAAAGAACTTCAGCTCAAGCTTGGGTGGTAGAATTGGGCTTTCTGGGGAGATGTCCCAGCCTTGTGGTCATCTCCGCCGCCCCTAAAATAGGTCTGGGGCTGCCCGATTGCCGAGACTACACTTGATACCATCAGCTTTGATGTTGAGGCAAGGTTAGACGTCCTCGGAGTCGGAGTAGGTATCAAGCAGCCTTCCTTTCAGTACACTTTCCGTGCCTTGCAGACCGCCTTTCCGCACGCAAACTCAAATCTCGATCTCGATCTCTACCTGGCCATGTTCAGTTCACATGGTTCGATGGGTTTCAAAACCAATGATTTGGAACTTCCGAGGTTGCGCAAGGCGCCTTCGCTCCTTCCCCTTTCGGTGTCTGCAGGATCTTGCAGCACACATACTGTTTTGCGATCAAAGAGGCCACGGTCCAACGTCCTGTTGCTTGAAAAATCCCTCAGAAGGGATGGGAGGCAACTGAGACATTGCATGATCTGTAAAAGGGGGGTTGACGCCCAAGTTCTGTGACGGCGGGCTGTCCCGCTGTCATGCGCATCAGGACACGTCGTCGAGTAAACACGTACCTCGATTGGAGAGCATCGTGAGAGTAAGCTGGCGGAGTAATGAAGATAGTCCGGAGCGTGGGGAAAGGGATAATGTTGATTTCAGCTTTAGCCCTCTACTCAGAGTCTCTTGCTGTGGGTGTAGTGGAGGTCAACAGCTGAAGATACTATCTTCATGGTGTTATCCGTAGTCAATTTACGAATACAACTTGGCTATTGGACAATAACACTCTCTGCTATTGCTATTGGACATGGAGAACAAGTTGTTAACTCCTGCCACGCTTTGCCAACCAGCTTTGCAGAACCCCTTCCCAAAGCCTTCATGCCCCACAACCCCTTCCCTCTGTCAGACATTCAGCAGTCCTCGATAGTGATGTTTCTTTCTAGATGTTCGAATCTTTCTATAGCTTCCTACATTAGCCTCAACATCCGCAGAGCGCTCAATTGTTCTGCCCATGTCGTATCTCGAGTACCTGTACCAACACAACGCAATTCCAGATCTGCAATCGATCGATGGCTGACATCTGTCCAGAATAGCAACCAGTTTATCCTCTATGATTGCGAAGTCGATATCCATTGCTCTCTAACTACCACGGACAACGTCGAATTCAAGACCACTTCCCAGGCTCTCTCCTGCAAACCGACTCGACCTCATTCTCCTACAATCACTTCGATATGATAAATTCAACTCTATTGTACACTGCGAAGCTCGAACATTCGATAACTGTGTTCTTGCACGGTTTGGAATGCCATCAGACCCGTGTCGATAGCCAAACCTTTTCGCAGCAATTGCGCTATACAGATGTTCCACATTCGCCTCGACCAATATACCCATACTCAATCCTATTGATCTACAAGGCTTGAACATTCAATCTCATTGCTACGCAACCCTTTCGAACAATGCCAAAGTCAAGGCACTCCTACCACTTGAGTAGTTCGCCGCATTGCACCCGCTCTCGACCTCAATGTCCCACATTCACGTTGACCAACGTCTGCAAACTTGGTTCCATCGTGCATTACGAAGCTCGAACACTCAACCCCTACATCCTCATCGAATTATACCCCTCCTCGACAACCTCTTGCCCCTCTGCCATCCTCGCCGCCACACGTCACCGTTGCTTCGCTTGCCACGAACTGTCTCCCTAACCCCAACTTGGCAAAGTCTCGACACTTGACGATTGTTTTGACACTTTCGGAACAGGATTAGCGGCCACTTTTAGTGAGTGATCGCGAATTAGCGTGGTGATCCGGCGCGTCTACTTAAGGTCGCGTTCTCGCGTCGCTTCTCACTATCTCTTCTTTTCTCCTCCACGGATTTTGTCAGTAATGCCTACTTTCACTTTCTCACTCACGGCGGCCGCCCCTGGGGGCCGTCGTTATGCGTCTGCTGTCCTCCGGGACAGTAGCAGGTATAAAATCCTGCACCCTACTGACAATACTAGGAACTCCGTCTACCGTTCGCGACCGAGCCCTCCTACTTCTCCTTCACCTCGACCTTCTTCTCCTTTCTATTTATGTACCGACCCTTCTTCTCCTGCCACCTTCGAACCCTTCCTGGACCGTGGGTTGGGTGAGGTGGTGAGGCAAGGGTACATTAGTGGGGCGGAGCAGCTGGTTCAGGTGAAGCCTTCCTTTGTGTTTTCCCCCAAGTTCAGTCGAACTCTGGTTCGCAATGGCATAGTTGTGCCGGCGCGCAACCTCTTTCCTTTCCATCCCATCCCGCAGGCAGAATCGGAATGCAGTGCATCGCCTTCTTCTACCTTGTCTAGTGACATCTCTCAGTGGACCGAGATCAAGGATCCGTTCGCGAGAGAGCGGGGCAATACCCACACTTCTGATATTGATTCTGTTGATTTTTCTGTTTCGTCTTCGGGTCTTACTCTTTATTCCGGTAGTTCATCGAAGTACAATGAGTCTGACTTCGAGGGCTCTCATTCTTCTGATCTTGTTCCAGTTTTGTCTCCTTGCGTTCGTTTGTCCTTTTCTCCAGTTAGATCTGGATTTTCACCGCTGCCAGTGGCTGCTGGTGTAATCCATTCCTCGCGTTCTGCTTTACCTGCTTTCTCTGCGCGTTCTGTTCTGTGCTCTCCCTCTCCTGCTTTTCCTCCTTCCCCATCGCCAGTGGCAAAAGTTTTTCCTTCTACTCCTCACCTCTCCCGCTGTGTAAGTTCTCCTACCTCTTGCACACATTAGCCCCAAGCCATTCTTCATTGCGAGCGGTCCTTCGAGGACTGGCGCGAAGAAGGAAAATGGCCGGGCTCAAGCTGACTTTATCTTCAGAGCTCTTCTTGGAGTTGCAGTCACTGCAGGACTGTGCGCTGCACACTTCCTGCCTTGGTAAGGTAAGTCGCCACCCTTTCGTGTTTGCTGACATGCCTTAGGGCGCTCAACAATGCTCTACCTTCTCGTGGTGTTGGGCGTCAGTACCTGAGCGAAAGCTTGGGGAAGCCAACAGGGCAATCAACTCATCATCGATGCAGATGAAAGGTATTTCATTGTGCGATGCATTTCAAGGAGATCTTGCTGACTTCTCAATTCCAGATTTTTTATTGGGGGAAGAGAAAGTCATGAGGGATTTGGACAAGAGTTGAGGCTGCGACTTGGGATGGCTGTTAGATAGATACTTTCGTTCAATCAAATTATTGTTCAGACCACTTCCTGATTTCTATCATGTGTCTGCTGTGATTGTCTCCACATTGCAGAACTTGTACGAAGCAAGAGTGAGGATAGAGCTCGTTCTATTAGCTGCTGGTAGGATGGCGGCGGTCCATAGAAATTACATTGTCCCGAACCTGTGAAGTGCTTTTAGTGATTATGCTAAAGCAATATAGTCAGTATTGGGAAGGGGCACTGCTTTTGTTGCATATGAACTTCAAGCGAAGAAGTTGCATTTAATGCCGGACGCTACGGAAAGAATGCCCCAGACAGTATAAGCCAGTTTAAACAATTTCATCTTGCAACGACATTAGGATATGTGGTGAGTTACCTCTTAACCTCAATATTGCTAGTAACTAACATTATGCAGGCCGAGTTGGTTAAGGCGCGCGACTCAAGAGAAATCTTGGTTCCAGGCAACTGGAACAGCATTCGCGTAACGAAAGTTGCAAGAGTTCGAATCTCTTCGTGTCCAATAGATCGTGGGTTCTGGGGGGGGGGGGTTTTTTTGGGGAACTTTTGATGCCTGATTTTTTGGGGTGGGAGTTGGTGAGAGGATTTTGAGGTTGAAGTGACGAAGTCTGGGGGTCGAGCGAGCTTTTCCAGGATGAGTGGGAGAGGAACTACACTATAATAGAAGTAGTTCTCTAATTCCTTGCTTAAGAGGCACGACGACTCCTTTTCCTTCCATAATCTGAAGAATATAGAAACCTCGAAGCCAAGTTTTGGTCAGTTCTCGCCAGTTCTCCAGCATGATGCGCGCGGTAGTAAGCAGGAGGCCACGTAAATCTCTTGAAGATTGATTTCTAGGTAATAATAATCTGACAAATGAGGCAACTGCTCCGGATGGTGGTGAACGAACCAACATGTATCAATTTTACATGCGATCTTGATGGAAAATCTGTGCATCAATAAGCTGACCATCAAGCCCCACAAATATTGCCCCTTTTTGTTTGTTGACACCCCTTTCGCTAACCTTAATGGAGTGAGAATGCTTTACTCCTCTTAAGTAATCTTTTCCAGCCATTGCAACTAGCTTTACAGTTTATTTCAAGGCACTAATCCTAAATAACGAAAACTGTACCTCCTGGATAGTAATCTTTCCACTTCCGTGCCGATTCACCTTTCAAGAGAAGGGCACGTGACAAGGTCTCGCTTCGCTTGAATTTCAAATATTCGGCGTTAAAATTCTTCAGTCAAATCTCCTTCGCCTTTCCACACCACTGAAGACGGAACCGCAGAACACAGCAGAGCTTCCTTCAAACCTGAAGTTGCAGCGTCTCAACTGCTTGTTCTGTCAATTGTTCTTCATTGAATCAAATAATTGGAGATTTGAAATCTAACACCATGGATTCCAACAACTGGCGCATCAAGCGTGACCCCTCCGAGACCCCTGTCAAGGACCAAAGTCCAAGAGGCGGGTTCCAACCACGCAATTGGAGTGCCAGAGGTCGGGGAGGCGGTTTGGAGCAGAGATCAAACCCGAGAAGTTTTCAGCAGGGGCAGCAAACACCGTCACGTGATGGGTTCAGGAAGCCTATCAACGACGCTCAGGTGAGTCTCCTAAAAGTATTGATGAACAAGTGCTGATTCGATCTATAGGCAGAGCAGGCAATTGATGAAGGCCGTCGTCTGTATGTCGGTAACATGCCATATCAAGCAACCACCAAGGACGTGGAGAAGCTGTTTGAGGATGTGCTTGCTGGTGTTCAGGCTATCAATATCGCTGTCGACCCAATGACGGGACGCAACCCTTCGTATTGCTTCGTCGATTTCAAGACTAAGGAGATGGCTGAGCGGGTCATGGAGGAGTATGATGGCCGGGATTTCCAACATCGTCCGTTGAAGGTGAAGCCTGGGGTCAGAACAGGCACACAAACCGGTCGCCGCGAGTAAGTGATTCCAAAAGTACCTCAAACCCCACATTCACTTACTTTCTCTATCTCCAGCTTCCGTTCTGAGAACAAATTGGGTGACAGTACATTCCTCAAAGATCGTTGGAACCGTCCCGACAAGCCAGAAGAGTATCAAAAGGCGGCAGATGAAGGTCGAAGGCTCTACGTTGGTGGGCTTCCCAGGTTTGAGAACTTCGAGGACACGAACAAGCAGATTCGGTCTCTCTTCGATGGCTTCAACGTTGAGACCGTGAGCAAGTTGATCCCTCCGCATGAATCGTTGAAGGAGAAGCCCGGCAATCACAACTACTGCTTTGTCGACCTTGCTTCGGCGAGCGAAGTTGAGGAAGCCATCAAGGCCTTAGAAGGGACGGAGAGATGGGACTGGCGAATCAAAGTCAATCATACTTCTGGCACGTCGGGGAAGTTGGGTGAGAGAAGACGGCTTTTCGTAGGTGGTTTGCCTGAATTTGGTGATCAAGATGCTACTGAGAGTGCCGTCAAGGAGTTGTTCGAGGGATATGAAGTCGCAAAGATCAGCAAGTTGTTCTTACCTCGTGAAACGAGCGAGGAACGGGAAGGCCATCACTGCTATTGCTTCGTGGAATTGGCTGATGAGAGCCAGACTGAGAAAGCAATACCGGAGCTGGATTGGAAGGAGAAATGGGGCGGAAAAGTACGTGTCAAGACGGCGACCTCGAAACCCCAAGGTGTCCATAGAACTGGACTCGGTGGCTGGGGAATGAAAAAGGATTGAGATCGAGAGCCGCATCTAAGGCAGGAGTTACCATGTGACTAATTGCACTCTCACAAGAGAAAAAATTAGTTGTCATTGGTTTAGTAGATTCTGTGCTTGATTTTCTGCGTTCTTCAGAGGAGAAACCTTCGCACTAGCAGAAGCGTGGAGGGAAAACGCCACACCGCGACTCTTTTGAAGGGTACCAGAATGAATATCAAACGAAAAGAAGAATTCTGAGTCTCCCATGTTGCATTGTTTTGTTGTCGTTTAAATTCTAGACGCAGATACGTTTGCAAGGCTTTTTCTGAGCTCTTTTCCTCATCCGAAGAGACCAATATTCTCATTCACACAGTAGCTAAGGCTCTCTGCATTTAATCCTACTTGTGCCATTTTATTTAGTCGCAATGTAGTTTATCCCTCCAAGTTTACGTTTCAGGTTTCCCTGCCTAGCATTTACTGCAACATGCCGCAGAAGGCTTCCTTCAGTCTTTCTTTTGTTGCTATTTGCAGGGCATTCTTTCAACTGAAGTCTCAAGCAAGCTGCATGCCACGTGCAACTATCCGTAGGTCTCCATAAGGGTTTAAAGAAATGAGATGTGTGTTTGAGAAACGACATAGGGTTACCGCATAGTTTCCTCAAACACCTTCTATCATCACCCATCTACCAAGAGCCTTTCAGTATCCCACCAACACAAACCTAGTCAGCAATCATGATTATTGCTTCTGCTTCACAGTGTCTTGCAAGTGTATAAAGAACCCGACACCGACCTCTGGTAGCTGGCAGAATTCAGCAACAGTTGATTCTTTCAGCATGGCTCGAAAGACCTACCAACGTTCCTGCTCAACAGCATACTTAAGGATCCAATCTCTCCAGAAATTGCTCAACAGAAGATCGCCATCAGAGACAGCCATGAAGTCCGAGATTTGCTCCACCGCCTCAGAAGGTGATGACTGCCCTTCCACTTCAAGCCTGCTCGATGAATGCATTTCAAGAATCTGCACTAAGTGCATCTCCTCGGTCGTCATCGCCGACCCAGCAAGCCTCCAAGGCCAGCAAGAAGGTGCTATCTTGGTGATCAAGTCAAACACGATTTGCCAATCCGAAGAGGAGGATGAAGTACAACCACAAGTCGGCGATCACGTTATGGTCATCAGATTCGAGGGAGCCAAGCAGGTGATTGTGAGGAACTTGCGAGGATACCTTCAGACCCCAGTCCCGTGGACGAACTTCTTCCCGGTACCATACAGCGGCAAGTGCGCATGCCTGCAGGGTCGATGTCGTTGCATCTACGAAAGCGAGGAGACGTTCTATGTCTGTCTTTCCTGCCCTTCTACTTGCTGATCTGGAACTGACGAGAATGGTGTAACAGGAGCGTTGCCCTCATGATTCTGACAAAACGGCGAACCTCGATTTGGAGACCGCCGATCCTGATACTCGCAGAGGCCAGTCTGTGGGCGCAGTGCTTACCGTCAAGCATAACCCTTGCTACCCGACGGACATCGGCCCAATTCTGCAAACGGAGATTGGAGACAAAGTCTTGGTGCTCCGACACTTCCGCAAGGATTCCTCGCAGCTCAGTATGGTGAAGGGGAAGAACCTCAGGACTGGAGGTGAAGGACTGATAGGATGGAAGGCTTTCCGAGCATTAGGTGCCAGAATGATGTGCGGTTGTACTCGAGCCAAGTGCAATTGCGTCTATGACGATTTTGAGGCCAGCATGGAACACAAGGAGAGGGTTGGTCGTGCACAGATTGGAGAATGTGAGGCAGTATCTGAATAGATGGAGAAGAATGTAGTGGAATTCGGGATTCATAATACCGCTTGAAGTTCTTGAAGAGACGCCAACATAGACTTATTACAACTGCTGTTTCTCTGTCCAACCATCATCAATACTGAACTCTCCTTCAACGCCAAGTTCTAAGCACCAAAGTCATGTCTCTCTTCTCAATCGAAGCACTTAACTTCTCATCCCTCAATCTGCAATTTCTTATTCTCACTCTCAAGCTCCAACAACTTCTTGACAGGTCGGCTCTCTGCCCGATTTGAGCGCTCTTTTAACAGCCCCAAGATTACCACCTTGAAGTTCTCCCCCAAGTGCTCCCATTCAAAGTTCGGGTTGAGAGCTTTGATGAATATGCGCATTGTGGCAACAGGCACCTTCGTAATACCACAGACATCCTCTGCCGACAAGTTCTTCTGCATTGTAGTGATAAATCCAGGTTGTAATGACGACTTGAATGGCGCAAACTCATCTTGCCATTCCGGTATAATCATGGTTGTTGTCACTTTTGCTGGCTCCTTATCCGGTTTACTGGTGGCGATGTCATCTGGCTTCTTCCCCGTCAAGATTTCGACAACAAAATCTATATGAAGAGGCTCGATGTTATCGCCGAATTGACCCTGCTTCCCAACTTGCCAAGGAACTCGCCCTTTTTCGGCATCGCCCAGAACTTGTCTGGTTAGCTCATGGGTCTTGACCTTGGTATCTTGGTCGACATCATGGCCGAAATCCGCTTCCAGAAGATCTATGTACACCTTCAAGTTCAGAACCTTCAGTGAGTCGGGCTTGACATGCCAGAGAGCAGCGGTTGCCGCGTGTTTATCTATCAGTGCTTGACAATGCTCCTTCATCTTGAACCAGTCATTGCTCTCGCATGCCTTTGATACTTTGGTCTTCAATTCCGCGAAAGCAGCTGAGCGTTTGGTGTAGACGCTCGCGGCAATAAGGTCGTCATTAACACGGCGTTGACCTCCCTTAGCCAAATGCTCGAGATACTTGATCATCTTGGTGTAGCTTTGAGTCTGTTTCTCTAATCTATGTGGAAGCTTCTCTAACAGACGA